GAGCCTCAGGCAGCTGGAGGCAGGATAAGAGATGCTAGGAACTTGCTGTAGCTCTCCAACTGGGAGCCCAGGAGCAAGGGAATCTTGTGTTCTTGGTTGTTTTAATCTGAAATGGAGTTTCAATCTGGTAAAGTTGGGATCAAGGAGAGAGGTAGCAGATCTTAGTTCAAGTACCAGACTCTTGCTTTTGCACTGAGTTACAATAAGTTTTAGATATGAGTGAATAAATGATTAATTTTTTTGCTGTATATTTTAGAACCATTACTAGATGCTCTAAGGAGTCTTTTTTTCACCAGTTTCATTGTTGTTATAGTTTGGAGCTTGAGTGTTAAGCATTGTGTTAAAGGCTTGGTCCCCAGGGTGGTGCTTTTGGGAGGTGGCAGGACCTTGAGGAGAGGCCTAGGGGTGGGGTCTTAGGTCACTGGGGACATTCCCTTGAAGGAAACTTCAGGACCTTGGTGTCTTCTTCTTTCTGTCTTTTGGCTCCCTGTCTTGTGATGTTAGTGGTTTTTCTCTGCCACATGCTCCTTTCTTGATGTGCTCTGTTACTATTGACTTCAAGCAATGGTGCTAATAGACTGGTGCCTCTAAAACTTCAAGCTAAAGTCAACCTTGTCTCTTTATAAGTTAACTATCTTCTCAGGTTTTTCATTACAACCATGGGAAGCTGACCAACACAACTGGTGTGGGTCTAAGGAGCAACTCATGCTGTCATGCCTGAAGTCCCTCTCCTTTTTCCTACTGTAAACTTTTAATGCTGTAAATTTCCCACTCAGCACTGCTTTAGCTGCATTTAGCTTATTTGATGTGCTGTGTTTTCATTTTTTACTGCTCAGGGTTCTGCAGAGAAACAAAACCAATGGAATCTCTCTCTCTCTCTCTCTCTCTCTCTCTCTCTCTCTCTCTCTCCATATAAAAATATTACATATGTAGATGTAATATCATTATGGTAATATTATGAGTATTAGCTCACATGGTTATGGAGACTGAGAAGTCTCCAAATACACCAACCATAAGATGGGGGTCAGAGAGCCAGTGGTGTCGCTCAAATGCCTGAGAGCTGGAGAGGTGATGGTGCAGATTCCAGTACAGGTCTGAAGGCTTGAGAATCAGGAGCACTAAGGGTAGGAGAAGACCTATCTAGCTCAAGCACTCACGCAAAGTTGATCCAACCTTCCTCTAACTTTTTTTTCTATTCAGGTCCTCACTGGATTGAATGATGCCCCCCACATTGAGAGAGTTACCTGTGTCAAGCATCTAACAATTCAAATGCTACCTTCTTCCAGAAACAATCTCATGGACACACCCAGAAATAATGTCTAATTACCTATCTGGGCATCCTGTGACCCAGGCAAGTTGACATGTACCGTTAATCTTCCTAATTTTTGATTGTTTGCATATCCTTTAAAATTTTCTTTGAGATTTCCTCTTCAAAACATGAACTATTTAGACTGATATTGTTTAGCTTTCAGTATTTATAGATCTTCCTATTGTGTTTTGGCATTGATTCTACTTTGATTCCATTTTGGTTTGAGAATGTACGCTTTATTATTGTATTCAAAATTTTAAAAATAGATTTCTAAAGAGGAGATAGTTCATCTCACCAACTCTCTCACTATTCAGATGTACAATAGACACATGTTCTGTAGGAGGAAGTTCTAGAAGCAGAAGGTGGGAAGCAAGAGCCATCACTGTGTTTCTTAAGAGTTTCCAGACCACCCTGGATGAAGACAAAACCATGAGTGATGGGGCCCAGACCATGCGTCTGGTTATCCATGTAGAGCCAAAGTCCCATCAGTCTCAGAATAAGGCCACTCTACTGTTACAGTTTGCCAGACTACAGCTTGCTCAGCTTTGGGCACTAAGCATGAATATGGGAGTATTCATGAGTATTTGGAGGCATCCAGCACAGGCTTCTAAAGAAGCAGAAGGTACCCAGGTTTCTTGCTGGAGCCTATAGTTACCCATTATGACCACAAATTCTGTCCACAGCAGACCTTGTCCTAGAGTAGCTTGGCCCTTGACAAGGATGTGGAATAAACAGAAGATAGGCTCAGTTTCTGTGGCCAACTTTGAATGGGATAAATCAGAGCTTGAGGAGTAAGAGAATGAATGTCTTAGTCTATTTTTAGTTGCTATAATATAATGTGTGAGACTAAGTGATTTATAAAGAATAGAGGTTTATTTTGGCTGATGGTTCTGGAGGCAGGGAAGTCCAAAGGTATGGTGCCAGCAAGTGCTTAGCTTCTGGTAAGGGCCTTGCGTGGCTTCAACTCATGGCACAGAAGCAGAAGGGCAAGCAGATGGGTGCAAAAGAGACGAAACACAAAGACTGGCCTTTCTGTGTCACAACCTGCTCTTGTGCCAGCTAACCCAGTCCTGCAAGAACTGTATTACTCCCTCTTAATGAACTACTCGCCTCTGAAAAGTCCCCACCTTCCCAAATCACCACAGTAGCAAATTTCAACATGAGTTTCAGAAGGGACGAATTATATTCAAATCATAGCACAAGGGTGGAGAAGTCATGCTTAAGCTGGGTTACTCTGTTCTTCTCTTAGGTGCAGGGAATGCAGCTTCTTCCCACTCTCATTCTTGGAATAGTTGGTCCTCACCAGCCACAACTTGCCCCTTGTGCTGAAGGGTCAATAGGGAGATTGGACTTGGTGCTCCTCTCTGTTCCTCTTGGTCAGATTTCAAACGAGCAAAGCCTCATAGGAACCAACATAGCCTCACTGGATGACTGAGTTTTGTCCCAGCTCTCCTCTCCTAATCCTCTCTAAGAAAATGCTGGGTATAGGTGTCCACATGTCACTTCCTAGGGCATGCTGGCCCTGATTCTCTGCTCTCAGTGGAGCATGCAATTGAGGTCAGTAGCCTCATGGCTGGTGTCTGCTCAGGATGGACTTCTTGGTGACTGCTCACCTCCATTCCTCATGGCACCAGGAATGTCACTCAAATGTGCTTGCACACACATGGCACAGTGATTCCTTCTGTAGGGTTTCATCCTGCAGATGATCTCATAATTGAGTCAAGACAAATGATAAGTTGTTCATGACAGCAGTGCTTGTGACAAAAGTTAGGAAATACTTGGTGCCCACCAAATAGGGACAACTTCAGTAGAGTATCCTTCATTTTCCCAGTCTCGAGTGTCTGTTCCAGAAAACAGAATGGAGCAGATCAGGATATTCTGATATGTGCACAGTATGCTCCTATCTGTATGAAAACCCTCCATAAATATCCTCACACCTGCTCATACACACCTAGGCAGCCAGAAAGACAGAGCACCACAGTCTGCAACTGCCTTGAGTGTGGGTGTCCAGACCCCACCTCCCTGCATCAGCCTGTTTTCTTAGCTAAATCACATGCCATTCCTTTGAAGCTGACTTTTCACATCCTTCTATTATACATGTTTTAAAACCATTCATAACTCTATGAAAACATTTCTTTGGAAAAAAAGTGAGCCTGGAAAGAAAGTGTGAATTATGAGTTCTGTTTTTCCTTAAATGATCCATTTTCACCCAGACTTTGGCAAGTCATTTTCATGAGCCACTTAGGAATTTCCTGTTTATTTACTGTGGGTTCCAGACAAACCCAAACTCCTGCATCTCACAGCCCAATGAGCCCCAGCTTTGGCCCAAGGAGCTGTCTGGGCTATGGCTAAGAGTGTGACTCACCTTGAACCTACTCTCCCCAACTTGCCCCTGCCTGCTGCAGGGTCACAAGCATCTGCATCTCAAGACTGAAGGGAATTCCCATAATCTATCTTTTGGTTAGAGAGGAGAGCTGTCAGGATTTCTGCCTACAACTACAAGATATGTGGAATTGGCCTCTTTTTCCTCCTAGAGCATCAAAGACAAAGATTCCAGGGGCAGCTATGGAGGAAGAAAACATGCTGTATGCAGGGGCACAAGCATGTGTGCACCCACCAACACACAGATGCAGACATGCTGGCAGATGCAGACATGTGGAGACAGGCACACACACACACACACACACAGAGATAATCACACATGGTGACACTGAAAGAGACAGACAAAGGCACACACATACACCTCTGTGCTCAGCAAGAGCTTCCAGGGCATTTAATTAATTAATTAATTAATTTTTTTGCATTGCTGGGAATTGAACCCAGGGCCTTGCACATGGTAGGCAAGTATTCTATCACTTAGCTAAATCCTCAGCCCCCCAGGGCATTAAACTTCTTTATTCTTCCTGTGGAGGCTGTCTGAGAGCCTGGTACTTGGCTGTCTTGCCTGGGATTCGGGCCCTAAGGCACTTCACACCTCGGGCAGGTGTGAAGGTGGGCTTCTCCCTGCCTATGTACCCTGTCTCAGATACTATTGGAAAGGTAAATTCTCCACTGATCAGCCCATTCTTCAGATATGAGTCATTTTCCATGCCAGAGGGGAGGGGGCCTCAGTGCTCCAAGGCTGTGGGGGCTCCGAGGGGCTCTGACAAGTACATAGCCCTTCTGAGCTCAGTGCCACTGGGCACCCTAGTAATGCATGTGTGGTCACCCACACTGTTGCAGTCGTGCTTACTGCTTCCTCTCACCTCCAACCCTGCAAAGCCCCCTCCCCAGCAGGCCTGTCAGGGCAGCTCAGGCCTCTCATGCAGCGAAGGTGTTCTCTGAAGTCCTTTCCCTTTATCCGGTCTTGCTTGCCCTCTCATGAGAAGGCCCATTTGAAGACACTGGGTCATGAATTCTTAGGATGAAGTTTTCAAAATGACTTAATACCAACATAAGCAGGGAGGGCCCATCTTCTACCGTTGTGCCCAGATAGTTGGTGAGAACACCAGCCATTCAGGAGTCACCTAGGCTGGGGTAGCCAGAGAAAATAGTGGATGTTCAGTTATCTGGATTTCAGATAAAAATGCCAAAATATCATTGAGATATTGCCTGGAACATATTTATACTAACAATTGTATTCACTATTTATCAGAAATTCAAATTTAATTGAGCATTCGTTTTTTTTTTTTTTTGTTGTTGTTGTTGTTTTCAGAATCAGGTCACCTATGCAGATCCATACCTCTGAGGATGATTTTCTTCCATGAAGTAGCTGAGCTGGGGGAGTCTAGGCAGCTTCCAAGCTTGGGATGGAGACATATGTGCTTGCTTCCTCCAGGACCTCAACCTTGGTAAGGAAATATCTCCTAGTGTGCTCTCTCTCTAGTGCCACTTTCTAGTATCAGATTTTGCTTAGAGTGCACAATATGTCCCCCAGTAGTAGTGTCTTTCATTCTATCCCTTTGGATTTGCCTCTGTAGTGCCCATGAAACATGTCTGATGCACATGTTCATTCTACCCCTGGCTGAGTCTCCCTCACTATACTATGAGCTCACTGAGCATGGGCCCTGCTTCATCTCTTGCTCCCCTCCCTGTTTTTCTTCCATCAACAAATGTTCACTTCCAGCTGCAACATAGATAGGAGATGAATGGAGGGAAAATAGATCTAGCCCTGCTCTTAGGGACTCTTCATGCTTGTGTAGAGGCTGGGCCCCACTGTGACTTTCATGGGTCTGCAATCAGTGCACAGGGTACTGTGCCTGGTCAGATGAGGTCACAGAAGCTCTGCAGAAATGCCAGCTTTCCTGGAGCTTCACTCTGAGCTGATGTTGGGAGAGGGCAGCTCAGTACCACAGCAGGCTCTGAGGCTGCAGATCCCTAGGATCAAGCCAGCTGGTAAGCAGCATTTCTTTTGGCCTTTCTCTTTTGCCCAAGTGGTCATTTTAAAGCCACAATTGGCCACCTGTGCAGCTGACAAGGCTGGGATTGAATCCAGGGCTATTTGTTTCCAAAGCCCTTTGAGTGTGCCCCCACCTTATGGTCCTGTGGATGTCATCATCCTGTGGCTTTTGGAAGGTAGCCCTGGAAGAAGGTAGTTCAAGTCAATATGAGACCCCAATGGCACTTTATGCAAATCTTTGGCCTGCAAGGTGGCCTGGTGATACATGCAGATCAGGCATTGACAACTTTTGGATCTTGCAAACTGTGGTAAAAGTAGAAGGAGTAGTTTACTAGGTCAGGAAAGCTGTGGTCCCATCTTGTCAAAGTCTCCATGATGCCAGCACAGTTGCATTCTGTCACTGGCTTTTATGGGATGGATCCAAGTTGAAGCTTTAGCTAGGCCTAAGGCAACCTTGGGGGATTTTGTGAAGGAGCATGTCCCTATGGTTGGAGTGGATATAGGAGTGGCTATGCAGAGGGAGAGAGAATAAGAGTTTTCCAGGGACCACTTGGGGGAAGGGTTATTGTTGAGTTTCTCCTAGCAGGACTGACCAAAGGGATTTAAGTGTACTGGCAGCCAAGGAGAAACCTCAGCTTGCCTTGTATATATAATGCACATACAACCTTATACAAAATAATTTTCATAAGCAGCATTACATTTAAAAAATTTTTTAGTTGTAGATGGATACTATATCTTTATTTATTTGTTTTTATTTGGTGCTGAGGATCAAACCCAGTGCTTCACACCTGTGAGGAAGGTGCTCTACCACTCAGCTCCAGCATTACATTTTAAAACACTGGAAATTGAATATCTGTGCATTTGATTTGTATTTTTTTATACTGGAACAAGAAGGGAATAACATTCAATGTGGGAAGGTAACACTGATAGTAAATCTCTGAATGTCTTCTTCTTCCTTTGTACCTACCTAGGTATGCAATGTCTTGAGACAATGCACTATAAGAAAAATGTCATAGCTTTATAAGATTTTACTCTATAAGGAAGTAATGAGAAAGTAAACAGGATGAATCAATGGTATTAACTTTTCTTCTTATTAAAAATTGTAACCAGCCAGGCGTGGTGGAATATGCCTATAATTCCAGCAATCTGGGAAGCTGCAGCAGGAGGATCACAAGTTCAAAGCCAGCCTTGGCAACTTATTGAGGCCTTAAGCAACTTAGCAAGACCCTGTCTCAAAATGAAAAATAAAACGGGCTGGGGATGTTGTTCAGTGGTTGAGCAAGCACCCCTGTACTGGAAAAAAAAAGGAAAAGAAAAATAAAAATGTTACACAGCCTGTTAATCAGCCTTTCATCATTGTGACCAAATTATGTGATTTATTTTGGCTCATAATTTTAGTCCACGGTTGGATGGTGTCAAAGCAGAAACCTGACAGAGGAAAGCTGCTCAGCATTTGGTAACCATGAAGGAGAGAGAGAGAGAGAGAGAGAGAGAGAGAGAGAGAGAGAGAGAGAGAGAATGAGAACACAAACATGAGAGCAAGTACATGTAGAACCAGGGATATGATATAGTCCTCAAGTCCTTAAGGCCCTTGAGGACTACTTTCTCCAATCATACACCATCTGTCTACAGTTTCCACCACGTCCTGGTGGTCCATTCAAACTATCAATTCATCAAATGCATTAATTTACTGATGAGGTCAGAACCCTCATGATCTAATCACTTCCCCAAACCCTACCTCTGGATGTTGCTGCACAGTGGACATAAACTTTTGGGGGATAGTCCAGATCCAAAACATAACATGCAGTTTATTTTTAATTATGGAAATAATCATTTTTGCAGCTTTCAGGCAAAGGCTAGCACTTTGTTTATGTAGAACTTATGAGAAAGAGGTCAAAAGAGAGCATCTAATTATAAATGGTGACAATATTAATTCAAGTCTTCGGCTCCATCCTGGATATATCACTAGTGATCTTTAATAGAAATTCTTTTTAACAATTGGAAATTTGTGCTATAGTCATGCATTCATCAATATTATTTTTTAAAAGCAAAACCTTTCAGCTTTCCTGAGGTGCTTATGCACTAACATTTTGCAGCCTTCTTCCCACGTTGGAGAAATCCTATCTCTTACTGTCACAATGATTACAAACTCACTGTTAGTAGAGAGAGTATGCCAGGAAGAACAAAGATTTTTGTTCACTAATATCCACATTAAAAATATGTATTTTTGACCACTCTGTCTTCTGTCTTCCTATTTTGGGGATGTATGCACAATTTCATTCATAGAAACATGGTATAGGATGATGTTTTCTCTGCATTATCCAGCCTGATTACAATAACCTTGTGCTTCTGGTGAATGAAGAGACTTCATGATCTGGGGGTCAGAAGGATTCCCCTTCTGAGGTGACAGACATCTGTGCAAACATCCACACCACCCAGCCTCCCCTAACTCAGGCTGTAGGGGAGCAAAGATGTTCCTCAGCCTCTCTCTCTTCCCTTGCCTGCTTTCCATTACCTTAGAGAAGCCAAAGCCCAGGGCTACTGCCCCAGCTGCTATGCCCCAGAATTAGCAGTTCTCTGAGGAGTCCTGTTTCCTTGTTGGAAAACAGTATCTAAAACAAAGATCTGGGAGTGGGGTGTGCTCCTTGAGACTTGGGGTGTGGCTGTTTCCAGCCAGTCTCAATGGACAGAGCTAGGAAGTACGTGTGTGTACATTTACCCATTTGGAAATCAGTTTGTTTTTTTTCTTGATTTCACTCTGCCCTTCTATCTGCATATTGAGCCAAGCATGAATCCACACCAAGGTCTCCTGTCTCAGACTTGTGGCCAGGCTATGGGTCACATTCTCACCTCCACCTTTTAGACCTGTACCCCTCCACTCCCAGTAAGATGCAAGATACCAGCTGCTACCACCCAAAGTGCCCTCATCTCTGTGTTCAACCCCAGAATAGATGTAAGACAATTTCAAAATTGCTGACCTACTCTTACTTGAAATAAATTTTCTAACTGGAGTGCAGTTCCTTCTATCTGAACTCTTAAGGGTTCCCATCAAAATACCATTTTCCCTGTTGCTCAGACCAGTTGCTTTCCCCATCCCTGCACAAAGGCCATGTGACCATTTGTATGCAGTGAGAGTCTCTTGTCACATTCTGAGTTCCGTCCTGGGATACGCCAGCCTCCTGCATGATTTTTAAACATTTTCATCTATTACAGCATACTCTCTGTGAGTACAGTTCTATCTATGGGTTTTGAAAAATGTAGAGATTCCTATAATTGCGCCATGCCATCCCCTACATAGTCAACTCGTCCCCAACCCCCCAAATCTTACAACTTTCAGTGTGTTTTCTGTCTGTATGGTTTTGCCTTTTGCAGGCTATCATATGAATGCAGTCATGCAGCATAGAGCTTTTCAGTCTGTCTTTCATTTATGCTGTGCCATTAAACACACACACACACACACACGAAAACAAACAAGATCACTTTCAAGTTCACCAAAATTCCCAATCTTTTGCTCATTCCTCCTTGAAAGTAGCAAGCACAGCTAGTTAATTTTTTTTTTTTTTGGTTCACATTAGTTAAAAATGTATATGTGATATTTTACTCTCTAGGACTTGCATGAGCTTATTTCCATTGCTCAATGTTTCTGCTAGTTTTCATTTGTGTTGATTTGTCTTCTTGAATGCCTGGTTATATTTTATTGTATGTTGTATTTTGTATATGCACAATTGTTTTTAGAAATACTTTGAAGCATAGGTTACTGCTTTTGTTCGCTTGTTTTTAAAGAAAATTCTCAATTGCTTCTGGCAACTTAATGGCATACAAATTTTCCTCAGTCCAGATCATGAATCAAGGTCTCCTGAGCCAACCTGAAAACTGAAGTCAGGGTGCAGTCTCTGTAAGGGTTAATTTTCTTGTTTTTCCCTTAGATGACTATCCTTTGATATCCTAGCCCCCAAAGATTCCCACCCTTTAGGGCTTCTACTCTTGAAGGGTCCTGAATTCTTCTTTTTGTCCCCTTCTTTTTTTTTTTTTACCACTTTCCTAGCATTAGTAGTACCCTTCAGATAAAAAATAGCCCCAAATGTACTGAAAATTGGACCCCAGGGTGATGGTGTTGAGAGAGAATGTGGAATCTTTAAGAGGTGGAGAATACTGGGAGGTCCTTAGGTCACTGGGGGAAATTCCCTTGGAAGGGATTAAGGTGAGTCTTAAGGGACCTTTGACAGATATGTTTAACAAATGTTCCTTATATTTTCAGCAGAGTCTCTAGTGGTTGGATGGGTTGATAGATGAGTGGGCTAGGTCTGTTGGTTCACATTACTTGGTTCACCCTTAGTACAAGTGGAGATTCCTGTACCTCTTTCAGGCCATCTTTCTGTTAGGCCAATTTTTTACGGCTATAAAAATTATACAAGTTAGGTTAACTATATGCAGTAAAGAGGTTTACTTGGCTCACGTTTCTGGAGTTTCAAAGTCCAAGATCAGATTGGTTCAGCCTCTGGGGAGGGAACAATTGGGTCACAGTGGTGAAAGTGAGTATGGGAAGAAGAGAACACATCTCAGAACAGAAATCCAGAGAGCAATTAGGGGTTGGACTCACAACCCCTTAGAACCTGCTAAGCTTGATGTGATGAAAAAGTGCTAAACTCAACTTTATCATTTATTATTGTTGAGTGTGTCGCAGTAGGTTTTGAATTTCAGATTACAGATCACAACCCTTGGCAAAAAATCTAGAACTACAGAACGAAGTATTCAGTCAAGATAGTAGTTTTGAAAGGAGTAGTAAATCATTGGTTAGTCAAAAGCAACTTATTGAGTTTATCTCCTATGTGTAACAAACAAACAAAGCAAAACATTGAATAATCCTGTTGTAAATTTTCTGGCTTTCCTGACATCTAAGATGAGGAAAGCTTCAAAGACCCCCGTCCCACACTGCCCCGACACGTCAGATCCAGTATGATAGCCTGACTGGGGATTTGCTCCAATGAAGTCAGCCATCTGTGCACTGGGAGGCAGCTGGTTGGATTTTTTCCTCTACCCAGAGGGCAAACACACACATCACAAAACTGGGTTATGATGAAGGGAAGAATTAATATATTTATTACTATAGAAATGTAAGATTATTAACTCACAGGTTTACAATTGGTACCAAGCCCAAAAGAATAGCCCCCAACTCAATCATCTAAGAGGGTTTTAATTTGCCCCTTACTTGACTTTTCACATCCTTTCTTTACTGGCTTAAAATATATAGAATACAAAGGCAATTAAAAGCTCTCCCAGGCTCAATCTAAGAAAAAAACTTTACTGTGCATTTTCATATCATCTTATGGGTCTTTTTTTTCTTTATGTCTTTCTTCTTATAACTTAAGTGCAGCTTCAGAGACTCTAAGTGAGAACAAAGCCACTGAATGTCCTCTGAAAGCACCAAGCCTTTCCTCCTCAGCAGATGGGGCTGACCACTACACAACCAGACCAACTGGGAACAAGGGCCCAAATGCACTTTCCTTGAAGTTAATACTGATTGCATCCAGAAGATCTGGGCCCCTCTAGATTTGATGCCCAGTTTGTAACAGTTCTAGTGGCCCCATCTCACCAGTGTCACAGAGCAGATGCAATGACTGGGTGAGTGTCATGCCTAACACCGTGGACAGTGGTTCCTGGTGGAGGAGGGGGAACAGTGGAATTGAGGAGTGCCTGCAGCGCCATGGCCCCAGTGACAGATTGCTGTCCACTCAGCTTCCTCACCTACCATCTCTTTTTCTCTCCTGAGCCTTTCACTTATCAGGGCCCAACTCCACAACTTCTTCTTCCTCATGAATCCAAAACCCTTTGGAGCTTGTGTTGATCAGTGTGCCCTCTGGCCGGTCTCTAGAGTCTCCACTCGGGTGTGCCCAGCTTTCCAGCCAAGTCAAGTCCCACCATTCCTGTCACCATTTCCTCTGTTATTCACATTCTTCATTTCTGCCCATGGCTCTCCAAAGGTATCTGGTCTGCTCCATTAGTGGAATGAAACTGTAGGGGTCTAAATCCATCTCCTGCAGCACATATTTGGCAAATGCTCTGACCCATGGGGGTCTTCTATTCCATGGTGGTCATCAGGTAGGATTTTTAGCTTTCACATTACTGATCAGGGCCAACTGTTTTTCCAGAACATAGGAGCTTCCATGGCAATGGATCTTGGACTGACAGAACCATTAACACTTGCTCACAACCACAAACTTTCCTCTGAGGTGCTCACAGTGGTCTTGGGAGGCCCATAGCTGGCAGGCATGGCTTTTACCATTTCTCTTTCCAGGCTCCTCCTTCTGTCATTCTTCTTAACTGCTCAATAAAGGGCTGTCCAGCTGGTCAGAGTAGAGGACACATGACTCATACACTCCTGATCTAGTTCCTACAGTAAGTTCTCATTTTAGTGGTTGAGATGCTGCTATCAATATCTGGAAATTAAATAATGCAGACCACAGGGCCTGGAAGTATAGCTCAGTGGTAGAATACTTGTCTAACATAGGCAA